TTTCCACAATTTTGCTGAGTTTTGGGGCGGCTGTCCTTCTTTTTTTTTTTTTTTTTGGTACCAGGGATCAAACTCAGGACCTTCTGCTTACAAAGCAGGTGGCAGCACCACTGAGCTAAATCCCTGGCCAGGCCACAATTTATTCTCTTTTTTGGCAACTTATTCTTAAGCAATTAATTAGCTTTGCTGGCATAGATTTTCTATGAGGAAGAGTTACTAATCATGTTACTTTTTAAACTTAGAACTTCAAGATTAGAAGAAAGGACATTCTTAATACCTTCGGTTCCAGAAACATTATGGAAATTTTGACTTTTTTAGTTGACTAGAAAGAATAAGATAGAGCACATGGTCACAACACTTGTTGGTCAGTGAGAAAACTGCGCCTGTGTTTCTTGTGCAACAACTGTGTCTATAGGGGTTGGGGTGGAGGTTTTGGGTTTGAGGAAGGCAGAGATACTTTACATGCATGTGAAAAGATGGATTTTTTTTTTTTATTATGAGAGAGTTCACAATTCATTTGTTCTTCCCAGTAGAAATAATAAGTAAAATAAGCAAAGATCATGTGGAGCATTCAAAGAACAGTTTAAACAGGAAAACCTGTTGGGTACAACTAGGTGTCTTTGGGGCCTGGGTACTAATTTGGGGTTTGAACATCTGATTTCTATTTTTTTTTTCTTTCTTTTTTTGCCTCTTCTTTCCTATTGCTTATTGGTGGTTTATCAGCATTATGCTAAGCACATTACCAACCTTATTTTATTTAATTTCCACACAAGTCTATGAGAGAAGTGTAATTATTGTCTCTAATTGAAAAATAAGGAAATCAAGGCTCATAGAGATTAAGTAATTTGCACCAGGTCAGACAGAGGGAGGAGGTAAAGCCCGAAGTTAACCCTAAATATCTCTTGTTCTAGACTTCGGTCTCTCAACCACGTCATGTTCCTTCCTCACTAAACCTCTTCCATTCTTTGTCACCAGGGACAGGATGAGAACTTCAGTCAATGTCGTGGGTGACTCTTTTGGGGCTGGGATTGTCTATCACCTCTCCAAGTCTGAGCTGGATACCATTGACTCCCAACACCGAGTGCATGAAGACATTGAAATGACCAAGACTCAGTCCATTTATGACGACATGAAGAATCACAGGGAAAGCAACTCTAACCAGTGTGTCTATGCTGCACACAACTCTGTCATCGTAGATGAGTGCAAGGTACCTTTCCCATTCCTGGATATCGAAACCTGCATATAGTAGTGCATGCTGCATTTTTAGAAGATAAACATAAAGCCCTGCATCCATTATTATCACATATTTTTTTAAAGAATTGTGAAAGCCCAGCTTCTGTGAGTCCCAGATCATCTAGCTCTGAGTCTAATGCAATGGAAAATCAAATTACCTAAAACTGAAAACCAACCCGCTGCTTATGCCATTTGACGCAATGTGTAACAACGATTCTGATTCTCACATCCACCCTGCTCCACTAATTTGGTGGGTTTTCTTGACTGTTTTACACATGAGTTTGTGGTTTCGGGACCTTCACTGGCTCTCGGATGAAATATTGAGAGAAACACAGCCAGAATTTCCTTTTCATGGCATGAATTTTCCTCCTTGCTACCTATCACATATTAGCCTAAAATATGCCCATGTATTTGCTGAAGAGTAAGTTTTAATGTGGCAGTTACTTCCTCCCAAAATGGGGAAGCAATTTTAAGAATAACTGCCTTTTGGAACAATGATCCAGAGAAGTCTTTTTAAAAACACTGTTCTTGCATACTGCCTGGCATTGCCATCTTTCCTGCAGCATAGATGTTCTGGGTTCTCTTCGAAGCTGTTGGGTGCCACATCTTAAACTTGACGGGCTCTGTCTACCCTTCGTTATAACTGACTTGACAGTGTTAAAACACTGAGTAGCATGACCAGAGTGAAGCAAACTTGGAGAAACCCTGGCAGATTCACAGAATTACCCTTTTTCACCCTTGGTGTTTTGCTACAATGTTTCTGTATAGCAGTTGACAATCTGAGCCCAAGATATATCTCTGGTACCTTTCTGACTCTTGTTGGTAAGATAAAAATTAATCTTTAATTTCTTCTTGTACTACATCTGGGTCTTTCCAGGTACACGCCACAGTATCTACCAGACAACTCAGAGTGACACAGAAAGAGTTCTCTCTAATAGACTGTATCATAGGTCCAAAATTTGGGTGGACAGAATCTTGAGCTTATCTCCTTTGTTTTAGGTGCGTATAGGGGTGACCAGAGCTATGGTACTAATTAGGGAGGGAAGCTACCCATCAAAAAACAATTGCATAAATTAATTCATTGACTCAGTAGACAAGATCGACATTTGTAAAAATTCAAATGTACCTAAATGGCATAATCCATTCTCTTGAAAAGTTAGTGTTTTTCCAGTCTGAATTAACATGCTAGATTATTCACGTGGAATGGCTTTATACACTATTATATTTAACAAATACTTGTGTGCCTTGTAAGGTTTAGCTGAGTGTCCTCACCTCATTCCTGTAAGGTCCTATATTTTGATCATTCACCAAGTATTCATTGAGTCTGTGTTGCCCATAAAGCCCTGAATTAGGCACTGGAGGACAGCCAAAAGAATGCACAATAATACAGGGGAGATGAACTTGGACTCACATCACTGCCATACAAGGAAAATAGTATGAGACAAAATGAATTCACTATATATATTTTTCAATTTCATAGTTGTATTAAAAGTAAGCCTGGTGGCTAATTATGATGTGGCCCATTTGGAGCTTCTCAAGAGGTTTCTTAATATTTTCAAGAACACATTTTTGAAAGACAAAGTATATGGGCATGGGGATGTCACTAGGTTTCAGACTTCCTGTATCTTTCTTTTTTTAAATTATATCAGAAGAAATCTGCTTCATTTATTTAAGTAAAATACTTGCAACTGTAAAGGAACATGTTTGTGAATTATTCCTATCAGTAGGAAGTAAGTTCATGGGGAGGGGACATTTTCCCATCACCTAAAAAATGTCTGGCATATTGTAGGTACTCAATAAGTATTTCTATTTTTTTTTGGTACAGGGGATTGAAGCAATAAGTATTCTTGAATGTAGCTTTTTAGTATCTAGATTCCATGCTGTATTTCAGAAAACTTTTTTGCCTAACAGTTTCACAAAGATAGCTGTTCAGTCTCTTTATAAAGTTGACTACCCAGCCAACCTGAAGATGCTTTGGTTAATTGCCATTTAGATGGTCAGTGACCAAACTGAATAGGAAACAAAGATGATGAAAATGGGCACATTGATTTACTAATTATTACAGATGTATTTTTGGGACAGAGTTTGGGTTTAGCTCAGTTAAGCTGAGGTGCTTCTCAGACCTCGCCAGGTGAGACAAATTGACTCTTCTTATTTTAGATGGGTTAAGTATGTTGACACGGATGAGGGAGGAATTAGCCAGAGCTATTGGGATGATTGTACACTCTTTTTCACAATATGGTGGTCATATTTGTGCATTCCTCTGAACTTGCTTCCAGTCCGTTGCTGCTTTTCCATTTTTAAAACCATGGAAGATGGCATTGCTTTCTTCCAACGCCCTCCCCTTTCGCTTTCCTATCACTCAAGTGGTTGAAAAGAAGGAAGTGGAATGGATTGGGTAGTGGAGTCCTGTTTTCCTTTATTCAGCTAGAAAATGAAATACCAGAAAAGTCACTGTCCCAGCTCCTTTTGAAACACAGGGCATGGTATTTACAAACAAAAAAAAAAACAACAAAAAGCAGCTCCCCCAAGTACAGTCTGGTTCTTCCAAAGGCACAGCCCTGATAAGTTTGCACTTCCATTCATCTGGTTCATCCCTGAAAGCCAAATAAGCACGTTCAAGCTCATAGCAAACAAGCAGCTTTCTCCAGACAGTCTGTCCCTGACAGTCTTCTTTGACGTTTCACTGAAGGGAAAACCAACTTGCTGCAGCTCTGGTCAAAATTTTAACCACTTCAAGTATGGTTACATCATGTTGGCCTATTTTCAAATCCTTGCCTGGTAATACTAGTTTAAAGTCTTGTAACATCTTTTAAATGTTAGTCGGAATAACTGCATGAGCGAAGTTATTGCTAACTGCATGGACTTTCTGAAAAATGGGGGAGGTGGGACTTGGAAGAATGAATAGTTTTTCTTTATTATTTGGTTGGTTTGTGAAGGGCACTTGGTCCTCTGTACCTCGCATGTTATGTGCTTGTGATGCATGCATTTCACTTCCACTTGGGTGAGAAGAAAGTCAGATTTCTCTCAAACATTGCTGCGTTTGTCATGTCTCCATATTCTAATGCTTCCATAAATCCAGTCTCTCCATTATGTGGAATATCAGTCGTGGGTTTAAGTAGACACATGACGTTGAGGACAGACAGACAGAAGGTAAGCTAGGAAAACTACTTAGGAGTGGAGGGGAGAACCTTCCATTCTGCATAAGGGTTCAGTTCACTTTGAGCCAGGGGAGAATGATGTAGACAATCTGGTCATTATATGTGATTATTAAGTGGTCTGCAGTGAAATAATTTAGATTATATCATCCCCGAGGTTAAGGTTTTAACCCTTCCCCTCTTTTTTCTTTTTAGTTTTTAAAACCAAGATTGCTTCTTTGGTAGAGTCAAACCGTCATGATTCCTGATTTTAAAACTGAATAAGTGTAAAGTCCTTCTGGCCTCATTGCAACTGAACCTTTTACATGCATGAGTAGAACTAGCTACCTAGTTCTGGTTTTTTGTTGTTGTTGTTGTTTTTTGGTTTTTGTTTTTTTTTTGTCTGTGGTTGTATGGAGTAGCACATTTCAGTCACTATATTTTAAGGACTGTGTCATTATGCAGGGTCCTACGGGTAGTCAGACACCCCACAACCCTAAAACTATAGCAGAAGTTATCCCCCTTCTGCAGTGCCTCGATACCCTCAAGACAAATGTCAGTATTTTAATTCACATATCCTTGTGGTGCACCAGGACGGATTCAGAACCATTTTGGAATAACCCTACTTAAAACTAACATTTCTGTCATCTATTATAACCTGGTATCTAGTGCTTCTCCACATAGCCCATGGCTTTTTCCTGGTTCATGGCCCGTAAGCTGGATGTTGATGATAATTATTTTCAGGTAACTCTGGCACCCAACGGAAAGTCAGCCGACTGCAGTGCTGAGGAAGAGCCTTGGAAACGGGAAAAATAAGGATATGACTCTCAGCACGTTCTTGAATAAACTCTCCAGCATATCGTATGATAAAAGATGATGTAAACAAGCTTTCTTGAAAAAAGAGAAAAAAAAAAGCATCTATTTCTGTGTTTACTTAATCTGTTAGCTGAGGCTTAGAGGAGCTGTGGTGAGTCCGTGATGACAGGCACAGTGCTGTGTCTTTGCCAAATAACGCTTCATAACTGGCTAATTCTCTCACCCGTGGTATTGTTTGAACGGATGTGCTGGAGGAACCCCTTTGTAATGAAGACATGGCACGTTCTTGCCAGCTTTCCTTCTCTCTCAGTTCAGAACTGTGGATGCTCCTTTCCCAAGTGACGTGACAAACGCAGCGTGGGAACTTGGGCCAGTGAGCATTCACAGTGTGTTAGTCTTCAAAGTGCTCCTTTCTTGCCTTGTTACGCACAAGAGATTCTTCTAAAAGCCTCTAGCAGTAACTCCTGTTCAGTGTCTTATAGCCTCTGCACTTGTGCTGATGACAAGCAAGTATCTGTGTTAGGAAATTCATACATCTTACCTTTTGGGTGCTCTTTGAGCTAAATGTCTCAAAGAGAGTTTTAGTGGGAGCCATACTCCGCTAGGCAGCTGATTATGGAACCTGCTGCCTCTCTGTCCCATCCTATCCAGTTTGTGTGAACAATGGTCAAAATTTCAAAATATGTGTCATAATTCTCTCTAAATTTGACATTGGGTTAGGAAATGCTTTGCATACAACCACCACATATACATGTTAACAAAATTAAGGAAGTGCAGATGATATAAATTTTAACCAGATTTAACTATCCAAATTCATTTGCATTTTATTTGTATTCATTTGCCCCAGTGATATCAAGTGAGATTATTTGATTTATATTTTGCTCTCTGTTTCACCCATAAGATTCTCATTTAGGTTACTAACAAAAAAGATTCTTTGAATCTCTGAATGATTTCCACTGTATTCTCATCCACCTAGATGGCCTGATCCTTTGTCCTCCACACATGGAAGACATTTGTGTTGTATCTCTTTTCATATCATACGTTGAAAAAACTGGTATCTAACCAATATGTAGAAGGATTTTTTTGTTATATCAAAGCACATAAAACTAATTACAGGATGCGGTTGGAAGCAGGGCCACTCTTCCTCCTCAGTAGGAAAAGAACAGAAAACAAACATGTACAAAATCCTATAAAGGTGAGGTCCCTTTGGTATAGACCAGCCAGTCGTGGTCCATGAAGTGAGAACAAAGGATGGTGACACAACTTCCCAGGTGAAGTTTTTCAAGGCTATGAAAGTTTGAAGGAATAAATAATATAATTGGCACAGCAGAGGGCTTTGCATGTGGAAGGCAGCCAGCAAATCTTTAATGATTGGTTATGCAAGCTAACGTTTTGTATGTCTCTATTACTTACTATCTTCTATTGAATGACCCACAGTATTTTCCGAAGCTTGCTGGGTTGGAAAATTAGCTGGGGACTTGAGTCATTGAGAGATAAAGCACAACCAATTCTAAGGAGTAAGTAGAACCTTAGTCCACACGTCTGTGTCTGTTTGGTGTCTCCCATGAGGCCAGCAGAGGGATGCAGAAGTATTCATAAAGAAGTATAGAATCCACATTCTCTAAGGGTAAGGAGTGTTTGAGCGTCACCCATCCTTTTTTACCTAATCTTCATAACTTCTGTCTTCCAACCCAGACAGCTTTGGAACATACAAAGGATGAGATTCCAGTTGCTTTTTGCCTTTTAAACCCTAGGTATTTTTGGATATAGATTGCCACTGAGCAGTATTAAGCAGATTTTTAAAAAATGACATTGGTCTTTGTTTTCATAAGATGGACAGCTAATAGAATGGCTAAAGTCACACATGCTCAAATGTAGCAGAGGGGGAACATATCCTTTATAGTAGACATGTAGGCCAAAGGGATAGTTCTTGGGTTTAGCTGTGAAACCCAGGGTTTCTCTGTAAGTGCCACTCTAAGAGCTTTTATATGGTGAGCAGAAAGATCCAGACAAAGCATCTAGGAGCTGCTTGCTTCTTTGCGGTAGAAGGCCAGCTTAGCACTTGTACACATCATCGTGTTTCTCAGAGGGGTGGTCATCTTCTCAAGGATCATCTCAGGATCATCTTCTCTACTCTCTGTTTGAAAATATTTCTGGTTTCTTTTGTCTTCAGCTTTTTCCTAGCTATGCTGCTAGCCTTTAAGTATGTAAGGGAACAATGTGTTCAAAAGAAAGAGAATTCACAGCTTCACAAAGCAGCCTTTTCTGGCTTGAGACTGTATACAATATCAAATGAGAATACATTTAGGAAACCATGTTTATCTGGAAATTCAATAAATTATATTAAAATGAAATGATTTATCAAATTCAAGAAAAACTGAAATATCCACAATGCGTGTATAGCTGACATATGAATATGTCCTATAATGTTTTAGGCCTCATTCATTCTTCCATGCCATGCCCAATGGGGATTCTCTTGTCCAGAATATGTGCCATAAACAGAACAAATGGATCCAGAGTATACCTCTAATAGCCTTGACCTAAATGGGGCACCTGTCACCTATATGTAGAGATTTATGCTAATGGACTTATCCAGATACAAATGCTGATAATAGTCCATTAATATTTGATGATGCGTAAATGTTGTATATCTACATATAGAAACAGCAGGTCAGGTACATGCACTGCATCTGGTAGGGGCTATAAATCAGGACTTTGTCAATACCATTCTGTCCTAGGCTTATTTTTTTAGGAATTAGAATCATTTCCAGAGAAAACCAACTAAACAGAAATTCATCCTTCCCTTTCGCATCCTTGCCCTTTTGGGAAACCCAAGTGGACTCGTCATTTAATTATTTGCTACAATTGAACAAATCCAATCCAGTCAGTGGGAAGATAGCTTATTTTTCAAACTAATGTCTTAGCTTAGATATTTGAGGATATGTTCCCACCACACCCGCTAAATATGAAGTACAGCAGAGAATCCAGGCAACCATCTTGTTTATGTAAACAGATCTTCAGTGAAGGACTTAAGTGGCTTTAGGACCTTAGATAGCTATCAGATCCCATTTTTAACTTCTCACTGGGTATTGAAACACAGCCTGTGGTTGCCTTGCTTGCTGAAGTTACCATGCCTGTAAAAGACAAATATTTGTTTTTCCTCTCCAACCATGAATTAGCCCGGATGTTCACAAAAACTTAAGGAAAAAGGTGCCAAAATGCATAGCTCCTGGATTTAGACTTGTGGAAGCTGAGAAAGGCCAGAGAGAAATTTAGTTCACAGAGAGATTTCTGGTAGTTGATGCCAGAAATCCCAGTGATGAGTTGATTAGGTCTCAGGCCATTTCCACTTGTGCAGGGAGAAATGTTATTTGCAAATGTATCTAGTCAAGAAGTTTTGCAGAGTTGCATGGCTGGGAAGCTCATCTTTTGGGTCCCCAAAAGGAAAAACAATCCTGCCTACCATGTTTATCCAAATATCATACTTTCTTTTTCTCTTAATAGCAAAAATATATTATAATTCTTACTTTTGTCAGAATCAAGGCTTCAGCCTATACAATATCTTCCCAGGAAATAGAGCAACAAACCCAAGTAGGTATGCACTTGCTCAGAGATGACTCTCCATGGTTCTAACCCTTGAAAAACAAGTCTTAGCAGCTTTTGCCTGGTTTGATGACTGAAAGCACATAGGAGTTACACCCGAGGGAAAGTGGTTCCCCCTACTTATCTGATTTCGAACTCTCGGGGCCATCAATTGTCTGGGTTGCTATACTTTTTCTCCATGTGAACTCATTCCAAGCCAAGAAAAGGGGTTTGATTGAATTTTTTTGTTACTATCATACTTATTCTTTGAATAGGATATTGGGGTCTGGGGGGCATAAGAAAATTAAGTTTAAGCATGGTCTGAAAGTGAGAGTTAAGTAAATCTAGTTGTTGGAGAAGATTAATGTTCCCAATATTTGTAGTAATTTCAAATTAAACCCAGGAGAACAGGCAGGTGACACTAGAGACAGATTGTTCTCCTTGGGGTGGAGTGAGTTCAGAGCTGCTCATGAAACATTAATTTATGATTTCTCTAAAAAAATTTTTTAGTTCCACTCTTCCTCCTCCTTCCTATTCCACTGCTTAAGAGACAACTTATTAAATGACCATATAGGTTAGTATGAGGATTTGTTTTAGGATAATAATCTGAACTGAACCCTATCTAATTTTATGGCATAACACAGTTAATCCCGAATTGGTATCTAGAGGATGAGAAATAGCATGGTTTGTTAAAAGAAACGTTCGATACAGACTCTGCCCAGTTTGAAAGGTAAAGGGTTGAATTAAATGATTAAAATCCCACTAGTCCTACAAATTCCTGATATTACAATATGTTTTGCTTTCTTCTTTCTTAATAGGTTTCTGTGAAGTACTACTATTTATATTTTAAATTAGAGGGATTCCATTGTAGCAAATAATTTAGATTTTTCTCCTTCCCCATTTTAAGTTTCTATTTTATATTTATAACAAGCTTGGCAAGTGATCGTGTTAATCTATGGTTTGAGACACCAATAACATCCTTTTATAAAAGTTCCCTTTACCCAAACTCACTGTCCTAGTAGAAGTAGTGATTCAGCTCAGGGAAAAATGCTGCCAGAGTCACTGTGAGGGACCAGATGTGACTAGCTGCACACGATCTCTTGCATCATTCCTGCTGTAGCAACAGAGCCCATTCCAAATACCCAAACCACATAATTTTATCCAAATGCTCCTAATTGCCAGCCCAGTATGGGAATTTGGGAGCCTTTGGCAAATAAACTTGAGCACTCATGAAATTTGGTGCAAGACTTACACAATCACAGAAACTGTCTGTAAATACTTTCCCTCATCTGCAGGTATGCAAACACGCACACCCATGTACAAGTAAGCAGAGCTGAGTCCTTTCTCTGGAGGGATATACAAGGATATTTGATTGAATTCATTTCCATATTTTCTGCTTGATTTTCTTGTACCATGGGTATCACATCACCGGTAGAGAAGTTCTAACTTAGGTGGTTGAAGTTTTGCTATCACTGCCCTTTTCAACATCTGTGGAGTTTCTAGTGAGTAGGATACAAGGCATAGTCCACAGGTCTCATGTCACCAGCCATGACCTTCACAAAACCTCCTGTACTTTTTGGCATTATTGCAGTGGGCTATTGCTTGTAACTTTGCCCTACGTCCAACCTTCTGCTAAATACAGAGCGGAGTTGGTATTGCTTGTGTGGCGAGCAAACTTATTGCTAGAGAAAACTTCAGTTATTCAAATTTTGGAAGTGGGGTGTAACTCAGGGCCTGGATTTGAGGATTGAGGGTTTTTTATTTGTTGTTGTTTACTTGTTTCTTCCATCAGTTTAAAAGACCTGATATGAGAGCAGCAAGATAAACAGTTTCACAACTGACCCACTGAAGAACCTGTAGGAAAGTGAGAGATGTCTCTAAACTCACATTCCATTTACTCTAAATAGAATCTTGAATAATTACTGTTCACTTCTTTTTATTTTCCAAGTCCAGCCTTGCTTCACCTTCCAATCTCTGAGCCAAGTCTCTATTTTAATATTTTAAAGACTCTTTCCAGTGGTTATGCAGGGACTTTTTTGTGCTAAGAATAAAACTCCCTCCTGGAACAGACCTTACCACTTGGCAAAGTCAGCACTGGACCTTGACAATGGGTAACTGCAAGTCCCCAGTTGCTCTGGAGACAGTTCCAATCCCTGGGTGAGTGTTGGAACCTAACAACTGACTGTTACCCTTGTCATCATCCCCTGTGGAGATGGGGGTGATGCAGCATGAGCCTTGCTACTTCTGGGGCTCTGTTTCTTCTCATGGCAACTATTTAGCCAGGCTGAAAACAGTCTGTTGCCTTTGATAGGGGACAAACATACTTACCTGCCAAAGAGGTTGGACCAGAACATCTCTGAGGTTTCTTCACCATGGAGCAAATTCTCTGAGATGTACAAGCAGAAAGTTGGCTCTCTGGTGCCTTACGACACCACGAGATCACTTTCCTCACCAGGAATTCATCCTTTGGCATCCAGATTCTCCTACAAATCACCTTAACTCCCTCCCTTCCACCTTCCCCTAAGAAACAAAATCTCAGCATTGCATCTCCATATTGCACAACACAGATCAGATTATCTGGTCACTATAGAGATTTGTATATAAAAAAGCTACTTTTTTGAGAATTTTTGTATATTGTTTTTCTATTTGTTTTCTACAGCTTGAGGAGAGAGCTGGCAAACTGTGAATCTAATTTTATCTTGCAGCCAGGATATATATATTTTGGCTTCCTGGTAAGAGCCTGTGCTACCAGGGACAATATATTGTTATCCGATCAGTATTACACCCCAAATTACAGCAAATTATTTCAGCTCAGTCTTACATTCTTTCTTAAATCCCCAAGCTTCTTTGCTATTATTTATTTTAAAAAGCATGAGAATATGTATTTATAGTCCTGGATATTATATGTTTAATATTAATTTAGCCTTTAATAATGTTATAGGTTTATATCTATTCTTCAGAAATCACAAAGAACTCAGTGGAGACTGAATTCATCTATTTAGTATCTGTAATTTTGCAGACAGATATTTTCTTATGATATTTTCTATATAACCACATATTTAGAATTGTAACTAATAGAGCACAAAAAGTTTCTACAACAACCTAGAGCTATCAATTGTTTTCTGAGCATATAGCCACATTAAAAAAATTTAAGAACCTAGTCCTCAGTGATGCAGGGAATATCACCATCCAGAACAAAGAATTGCTTAAATCAGGTGGTTAAGATGTATGTTTGAACAATCTTTCTAACTCATAGAATGGTGCTGATTTTTAGTTTTGACACCAGGCCTTGTTTTTCCAGCTTATCATTCTAAGTTTTTGCTTTTCTCTAAGATCATCAAAAGCAAAGTGAGAATAGTGGGATCATTTCTACATCAGAATCTCTCATGCCTTCTTAAATGTTTATGTGAAAATTGGCTTAGAAAAATTTTGACTAGCAAAAACTAAGAATGAGTGCTGGGAGGGAAATCAGGACATATTTATTGCAGCCAACTCTTGCTAAGCAAAATGACAATAAATGTCACATTTTTAAATTAATTGAGCACATGTTTTTCAAATAAATTCACACTGGTTATGAAGCACTGCTGTATGTATCACTGGGGACTGGAGGTGGGAGCTTAGGGTCACACTGAAATTGTTTAAGAAGCCCAGGTAGTTTTTGTCCTCAGGTGAATAACAAACTATGTAACCTTCCCAACAGGTAAATCAATATCCACTGAAAAGACAAGGTGTCTTTCCTCCGCCAAACACATTTTCTGACATGGTGGTAGGACTAGTATTTTTACCATGTTTTAAACAGTAGTCAGTTATAGAGAGAGTGTACTAGATGTATTTGAACCTGCTCCTCATTAAGCAAACAGATTAGATGTGCCCTCAACTGGATAAGATTGTGTCTGTTGTCAAGTACAGCTAGCTGTCAAAGCATGAAGTTCTTGTGTGTACACACCGGCGCTTGGTCCACGCATGAAGAACAGTGCCTATGCACTTTGTGTAACTATAACGTAGATATCTCTGTGTAATTTCCTTGAAATTGTGTATAGATGTAATTTAATTTAAATGTTACTTTTGGCTGTTCATCTAGATGCAATAGGTATGTTGACTGGTGTTTTGGAAACCCTTCTTTTTCTTCTTAGATACCTAGTAGTGAATCATTTCTGCTCTTTCTTGTGTGATTTGAGGATATATATCACTGAAGACCTTATCTATGAATCCATTGTACTGATGATCATTTGAATGTCTATATGTGTCTAGCATCTTTGTAAATACACAATTCAGAGCAGGGATGGGTTGGTAGTGTGTCCTGGTTCTTAGTGAAAGGCCATTTGATGTCTATTTAATACTTGGTGAATATAACTGTGAAGCTTTTGATGATCTAGGTAGGCACAGAGTGAGGACATTCATCTCCATCTTTGGTGGATGGAGCTCAGAGAGACAAGAGATTGATCTTCTCTTGTGCATGTTAGCATCATGTCTTTAGGGAAGGATCAATCTCTCTGGTTGCCAAATATTCATCTTGATGCTTGTGACCTCAAAGTTCTGAAGAGCCTTGTCCCACTCAGCCTCTTGAGTCAGAATGGAAAAAATATTTACTGACTATCTGTCGTGTAGGTGAAACCCCACAGAAGCACAGTTCTGGCAGCAAATGGCACAGTTGTCACAGAAAGACTGAGCACTAGAAGCACAGGAACTGTCAGTGTACAACTTTGGGGTTGCAGGTAGCAACTGCTGAAGCACAGATCCCATATATTTGAAGGGAGTATGACCTCCTCTACCCACATGCTCTGTGTGTATGTTTGGAAGTGACTGAAGATGAGATTAACAAATGCATTTATACACTATCCTTCAAAAGCACACATTATGTCTAATTAGGACTAAATTCAATGTCTAGAGCTCCTTCCTCAAGGATATAGAAGAAATAGCAATGTTCTATAAGAAACACTGAGTGCCCCTCTTTTTTCTCAAGGGCATGAAGCCCAAGATCATAAGAGCATAAA